GGACTATATGACAAAACGATATGGAACATTTACAAGTGTATCATCTACTAACCGAGCAAGTGATTATAACTCATTGGTTCACTCTGATAAACTTATTTTTAACTCATTCGGACAAAAATCGATAAGATTATCAAAGTTCAATTCAGCAAGGAATATCAACAAAATACCTTTTAAAAAAGAATATCCGGATACATTCCTTACAATTGACAAGAATAAAGAGTAAGTGTCACTGAAATAAATTTGGGCTTAAATGATATGTTTGTAAGTAGAAAAAGAAATCAGTAGGAATTTGTTAAATAATTGACTGATTTTCTGTACTGTAAATACTTCTCAAGTATTTTACTCATTACATTTAAACTATAAAAAATAGAGGGCAGAATATATTATTAAAAGACGGTGATAACTGCATTTTATCAGTTGATTAACTAATCGCTAAGCTGGCCTTTAATTAGAGGAAATAGCTAACGCTTGGGATTCTGTTTGTACTTAACATTTTTTCAGCTGGATTACTTTATCACTACCAAAACGTTAGCATTAATTGGCCAATATCAATTGAACTGAACCTTTCTGCAATTTCAGAACTAACTGTAAATCAAATGGTGTATACTTGGACTAGTGAAAACAATTGTTTGAAGTTACAAGTTGGCAAAATATAGATGTGAAAGAACAGTGACATTAAGATGAACTATAGAGTAGTGAAGATTTTCAGCTCAAAATAATTTTCGTGGTGCTGGATGGTTTGATAGTAAAGCTTTCATTGTCTTTCTGAACAACATCAGCACAAACTTCAGGTAGAAGTGGGGTAATCTTGGTAATGATAACCTTAGTAAATGCACATACGCATACGTTTTCAAACTCTACTTTTCAGTAGTACAAAATTATTACACTGTTGTTGCAAACAAAATATTCCTTTCACAGTTATGCTAAGTGTTTATTCGGTAGTTAAAGCGCCATTAATTGACAATTCACGGGTTAGAACCCTGATTCATTTACCCTGGTTTTTTGCAACCGGATAACTATCATTTACACCAAATGAATTTGCTACTAAACTATCATAATTAGCCATTATCGAGCACTTTTCATAGAATTATGCCCTTAAAATTTTTAATATATGCATGAATGCTCACCGTGATAAGAAGTAACTTGACAGTTGATTCTTTTCCGTAGAATTTCTAGGATTCTGCTATAAAGTATTAAAATCGATTAAAAAATTAAGTGTAAGCTTTCTGGAGGACAACAAGTCATATTTATTCGGTGAGTACTGGAGGTAATATCTGACAGTTAAAAATGAAGTAGATGAAATATAGCTGTAAATTAATATTTTACACCAAAATCATGGTTAAGGCATTTTTGAGCAAATTACATGATTATTGTTTGTAATTTTTCGCACTTGACGAAAATAATAACGATGCATATAATTCATTTATAGACCACTTATTATAAGAAATGACAAATCTTCGGAAGCAATACTTATGAATGAAAACTTTACAGGATCATTAGGTACTGAAAACAATCAAAAAATGATGATGGAAAAACATTATTCAATTGTTAATGCAACAGATATTTTTCCAGTTGCATGTCCATTGTTACTTCGATCATGGTTGAATGAGATAAAACACTACAAATATTTTAAACATCTAAACAAACTTAGACAACTAGATGAGACTACATTGGAACACAGTGCTGAACTAAACTATGATGAAAATAAATCATTAGAAAAAGCTTTTATGAATGTTTTGATTAATCCATCAAAATTCGACAATCAGTTTTTGTCAACTTTAAGCATGATATCAAATAAAGGCTGTCGATGCAGTCGTCATATACCACCGGCTATCACTGACTTAGAATTCGATATATTCTTGAATAAATTGATAAAATCATATCAGGCTGCAGTGATAATCGTTTACGATTCCAGGTAAGACATATTTTCTTAAAAACGTATTTCAATGAAACTCTGATTCAATTTGTACCCGGTATTTACGTTATATATTTATAAAAACCAATGAGTTTATCAGATTGAATTAGCCTTTAATTGTATTATTATTATTAAAGCCTAACTTGTAAGCCGGTTCTCTAACTCTATAATGAACGAATGAGCCATGAACATAAATTACTCGTTTATTTTCGTATACTCTACTTAGACTAATGCCATTTGAACGACAGCGGTAATGAAAAGCCAAACACGAATTTATTTCATGTATTCGTTTACTCAGACACACATCAAGATGAGAGTTAGAGAGGACTGGTGCGTCAATTCAATTTAACTAAAACGTGATCTAACATTTACAATTGCGAAAGATAAAAGCAAGCATATAGACACATCATACTATCAAACGTACATGCTCAAGATCATATACAAGAATGTTAAAATGACTGAAAAGCTTAATATAATTCATTAGCCCAAACGTAAGGGTAAATGGTGTAGTCAACAATCTGATTAAATAAAATATTGAGATTACTAAGGTAACCAAACTGATTGAATCAATACCTAGAAGCTAAATCAGATAGAATTACTATTCAATTAATTGAAGATGAATATTTTACGAGAAATTTATAGTATTGTTTATGTGTAAAATATTCAACCTGACTAGTAGCTGCAGGATATGTTCTTGTCAATGAAGTTTTTAGCCTCATATTGACTGACCCAGTGATATCATCACCTTTGAATTTAAGCTGAATAAAAATAGGTTTTTTTATTTGTTGTAGTTTCTCTGAGTTTTTTTATCTTCACATTCCTCATATTTCTCAATAAACTCTTGTGAGTATCCGTTATTCTTTAATTATTCATCACTTCCTCTTCTAGTGTATTGATAGTACATATTCTTTCTGTTCTGTGAAATATTTAATTTGTTACAATAATGGACAAGATGAAAATAATTGATTTAGTATTTTAATATAAAACAGATTACTGGCTTTATTTACGTCTAGAGATGAAATTTATTGACAGACGATTTATTATTTGAGTAAATATTAATAAATTTGCATTTATAAAAATGAAATTTAACACATACAAGAATCCGTTTATTTATTTATTTTAACACATAGATATTGGTACACAAAGGCACCAAATACATATGCGCCACACAGATCTCATTTGATATGTGTGAGGGCTGTGATACTGCCCGGGTGCCCGAACCGAAGCAGGTGGTTTTCTTAGGAGGCAACACCCGGAGCCTTCGACCCGAAGGTCTGATCCACAAGGCAGTGGGGCAACGTAAGGAGATGCAGTCCCATGGTAGCCGGTGACCAACAGTTGGTTCATACGCCATTTGTTCCCGCAGGATACTGGAGCCCATGTGCACTATTGGTTTGGGATCAGGGTTTTCCGAATCCCCTATGTGGACTCTCCATGTCCACCAACCCGGTTAAAGCGCCGGACAATCATCCGTGAAATAATAAAATAAATTTTGCTTTGATAAACCACAAAAAAATAAATGAAAAGAGTTAGTATATTTAAAGTTATATTTTTCTTTGAATTGTTATGATACTATAAATATTACTATTTGTAATTATAATCATTTATTTACATTTAGGTTACCAGATGGGATTCATATTGGTATATGTGATCTTCTTTGCCAGTTATATATAAAACAACAAAATACATTACCAACAAGTAGTTGTACTGTGAATGATAAGATTCATATTGTGACTGCAAGTGATCATTTCTCAGAAAGATTATACGATAAATACAAAATTGCAGGAACTGGAGCATGTGCATCAATATCTACGAGAATGGCAGACTATCGATTCTTGATTTATGATATAGCGCAAAATATAAATAATAATTCTCAGGAATGCCCATTATTACTAAAAAGATATAATGGACGACCGAAACCGGGTGACTGTTTAATTTTTATTCAGGGGAAACTATGTTTTATCGGGTCATCTTTCACAGGCTATGAAGAATTACCATGGTCAAAAGAACAGTTGGATAAAAAGGTGGCCCAGTGCAGAAACCAATTGACTAAACAAGGGTTTTCAATACCTACTGATTTTCAATTTGTTTAATAAGGAATTTTCTTGATAGTTTTGATTTCAATTAAATGATAATAAGACTTCTGAAAAATAGGTTTAATTGTAGTTTCATTCAATTTATAGACCATTAGAATTGTGAGACAGACATATCATCATGGAATAAGAGCACTACTACTAAAACAAATAGTACTGAATTTATATGAAGATAATAAGTGAAAAAAGTCAATAATATGTACCTTCACTATTTTGGTGGAGTTTTGTTCTCTGAGCTGGATGGTTTGGACCAAACCATCCAGCTCAGAGAAAACACCAAAATCATCCACCTGAGCTACAGATCTTTTCCACCATCTCAACTTTTACTACACTGTAGTATTTCAACATCACGAGAAAAAGCTTGATAGGTAAGATCTAACATGTTGTGTACACAACATATTATTGGGAATCAGGTGTATTAATAATTTATTATGTAGGCTATATTCAATTAACTTGGAATATCATGTCAAGTAAACATTTTGTACTTTCCAATTTAATAATAACGCGGTATGCTTAAACAAACTATAAAAGCTACATGTTACACTGTTAAATTAAACTAGCATACCAATTCTTTGCAAATCTTCTAAAAAAGGAATAGATAATCTGAACATGACAACTTTTACAGTTTTAATGCAACCAGCTAGGTTGATATTACCCCCTAATAGCATAATTATAAGTTGAATAATAACTGAAATAGGATAGTTAATAGTTTTGTATATATGGTGTTCAGTATTTAAAGAAGAAAAAAAAAAGAATATTTTCAAGTCACTGATGCTTTTTTCCGATAATATGTAATATATAACAGATACCAACAAACGGTTCAAATACAGTATTTGTGGCACGTTAATGTTTGACCACTAGACACTGTACTACCCAAGATTTCAATCATCATCCTCATCATTACAATTATGTCAAATTGTCTTTTGCTACCAGCCCACTTTTGAGGATGATGTAAATTGTTATTGATTAATGTATTAATCTTGAAGTGTTATCTGAAATTTGACAAATTCAAAGCATGTATTAAATATTTTTAGTTGTCCTAATCAATATGTTCATAAAACAAACACTTAGTATCATTTCGGTCTAAATGAGATATATCACATTTGTATACTTGAAATACATTAGTTGATTCACACAAAAACAAGACGGGAAATGAATAGCATCGTCCAGTACTCATATGATGAAGTTGAACAGGAATACTGAAGGTATGCATTTCCAAAAAACACCATAATTTGTACGTTAACTAAGAAAACAACTCTTCTTTAGCTTTTCCATTCTATTTCTTTAAATATTACAAACAAGGAAGTAACCATATGCATTTAATGAAAAGAATTATCAAAATTAAAATCGTAGAATTTATAAAAAATAACGGTTAACTCGAGAAATATGAAAGTGGGAATAAATAAAATTGAAAATCAAAGAAATAATAAAACACTGGTGATAAAAAAACCTTAAGTAGATGTTTTATCGTTTGGCCATGTTTTATAGTTTATTGATACAACGTCACGTATATATGTTGGGTAAGTAGTTGCAAAAAAGTCAATAAGTGTGATGTTAATACCATCTGGTCCAGCTAACTGATCTGGTTTATTTAACCATTGTTGATAATACTTTCCAGCTGTTTTAGCTAAACGATGAACTGAACTAAATGGATGCAGTAAAATGAATGATAAAGTTGGAGTAAGAATACCTTGGTGTACAGAGAAAATATTATCAGGTCTATGAAGATGTGGTCTGAAATGAAACAATCAGAAACGATAAAGGTAACAATTAGACATTTCCGTCGAAATTAAGTAAGGTATTTTAGAGACGAAAAAACTAGCGAACAATATCTCTAACGTATAGCTGATAAACAGATTCATAGCTCTCATTGAATTTTATTTCTATTTTTTTATAGTCAATCTGATGATTCGCTTAACAGCTGTTTATGAATTTCGTGCACTGTACGCTCGGATACTAAATACAACATCAAGTCTGTTTGACAAGTGAAGTGAAACATTCAGTTTAGTATATTAAGATTCGCTTGAAAATGTCTGAAAAGATCCACAGAACCATTCGATATCAGTGGTAATTAGAGTATTCCGTTAATTAGAGTATTCATTAGTAAAAGTTAAATAACCAATCGTAGTATATTTTGGTTCAAGTTGTAGAATCTCAGAAACTTTTGACTAAAAACCACATATCTTCTTAATCTGTAGTAAACGAGAACACAGGCTGTGACTACTAAATGTATTTTAATGCAACATTACAGAATATCTAGGTAAAATCTGAGAACCATACAGTAAATACTTCATTTGAAAAATGTCAATCAGTTGTCACACATTTCATTGTTCCTTCGTTTCCGTACCAACCACTCTGTGTTCTCGTTCTCTTCTCTTCGATCTTCTTAACCTTCTGCCGCCAGGCATTTCACTTTCGATTAGTGATACTTACTACTTATATATGTTGATATCAGTAGCAAACACCACAGATCTACTTTGATTTAAATGAACGGGTAGTGTAGTTCCTCCGATGCATATAACAGGCTTATTTTATAGACTGGTACTTGATGGTCCTCTATGCTGATGTTTTTTTAACAAGCAACATTGCCAACTTTAACATTGATAGCTTAATATAGAATCTTAGTATCCCACATATGTGTTAATCCTAAGATATCTTGTGTGACGGTATGTTCTCAAAATTTACCAACTTGCATAAAAACCAAAAACAAACTGCAAAAAATAAAGACTAATGTTTCTTATTGCCAGGTCAGGAAAACTATATAGTTTAGGATACATATAAAAAAGCCGATCTTAGTTCTTCTAATTTTTTCGCGGTAGGAAACAAGAAAACAATGGATCTTCAATAGTTATTATTCATAGTAATCTCTCAAATAAGAGTAACAAAGAAAAATAAACCAATAAATATGAACCTAATACAGACATCAGGACAAGAAACTAATAACAAGATATTTGTAAATAAAATAGAAAATTACAACAGCAGTAAAAGATGAAGAAACCTTACTTAATATGGTTATTTAGGAATGAAATCATAGCCCGTGGACCAACAGTTTCCGGCCAAAATGATTTTATGCTACTGGAAGGCCAAAATTTTGGATGGATCTTCTCGAGAGAATTTCGATGGCAAGATATAAATATGACTTGTTGCTTAGCACTCCAAAGTTCTTCTAATGTTGGAATATTTTTCTGATAAGGGAACATAATAGAATCTAAAATCTGGAATAAATGAGTGGAAGAAAGCACATTAAGGCAATAAGAAAATGAATGGTGGTAGTGCAGTTTACTAAAGGATTACATATTTACGCAGTGAGGCTTCAACCAAACCGTGTGAAAACCGAAGATTTCCACGTTCAAGTTAGTAAACCACTGAGGCGAATTTCCAATATAAGACCGTAATCCTTGGCAATACCTTTAGTATATAAAGCCTGAAATTGTTGATTGCCAGAAGATTGCCCGTAATAAAAGTGTTTGACCTCTCAACATATGCCTGTTGTAAGGGTAACTATGACTCCAAATTATAGACTGACAACAGCAGTTAATTAAAGCTGATTTACGTTTGAGCACGAGAGTACTCAATATTTACATATTGTGCTAAAAAGAGAAACATGTTTACACAAATTGAACTCGACTATCCCCAATTTTATTTATCTCTCGAAAACACTTATACAAGACTCACACAAACAATATGACAAAAGTTAAATCATCAAGAAATCAATGCCCAACACAGTCAAACTTATCCCTGTGAGTTACAAATCTGACACTATTTCCTATCGATTTTTTGAAAGAAAGCGATTCAAAGTAAAATAACAAACTATAGACAGACAAATTCAATAAATTTAGAATTAAGTCATTGTTTAAATGGGCAGTTAAGTACATGGAATAGAAACGGCAATGACTGAAATGAGAAGTCAATTAAGTCGGTGGTGCACTACTATAAGTTCTCAAGTTCTTTTTTAGATTTATTAACCACATTGGCTGAGGTAGTAGTTATGTAAGTTATATTTTGGTCGATTATTGTTCTATTAAAAAAGCAGTGAACTACCCATTTTTACAACAAAGTAAGTTTATAATCGATATCACATGCTTAGGATTCATAAACGCTGAAATCATAATCAGTAATTCATAAAGGGTTATGAGATTGGGTATGTGTTTGATAGATTATTGGACCGATATTCAACCTCCACTCAGACGCTGATGACGACACTTAACCTCACTCTGGAAGAGAGCTTAGCTTTCTGGTGAGCACCAAATAAGTATATCATTTTGTTGAATACTCGATATATAAAATTTTATGAGGATGAGAGGTTTTGTGGAAAGGTGATTAGTTAGTGCAACATACGTTATGAATGTGCTATCGGAAAAGGCTTTGGTTTTTATTTTTAATGTACGAACTGTTTAGTCAACTTTATATGAAAATAAATATGGTCCTACGACAAAAAGACGCAGTAATTATGACATTGTAAACAATCACTATTAAATCTACAAAATATGATGACCGGCAAAAATCAACTGGGTAGCTTTTATCTTACAACCAGATTTAATCTGTTTCATAAACTTTGGTACATAGTAGTGTGATATAATACGTGTACAACTGAATCGTCTTGGAAAAACAAGCATGTATTGCACGAAATTGTTATCCGATTCATGTTCAATATTTCGTAGTTTCATTGACAGTTGTATCGATGGGTGATCTACTGGAAGTTTTGGCCAGTTGAAATTAATTTGCAGCATAAAATAGTTGTGCGTACACGGTTTGATCGTGTAAGTTTATTTACTTATTAGTTCAAATTTATTTAACAACTTAGTAGAAGGGTTGGTGTTTGACCAATATCTTGTATATTACTCTGTTATACTACCAAACTACCTGTTCCTACCTTTAAAACAGTTGATTCAAAACAATATTTCTGTTCATCAGTTTCAAAATTATAAAAATGATTACAATCCACAATAAGAACTTCTCTCGGATTGGCTTTGAGGAAACCAAGAATGCTCTGAAGTTCTGTAGATAACAGGTTTGCGTACAGTCCGTGTGCTAAATAAAATTCAGACTCATCATTTATACATTTATTCAAACATTTTTGTCGTGCACAAATACGAAAGTCAAAATATCGAATCCCAGCTTCCAGTTGATCGAATAAACTTAGTGACTGTGTCACACTCCAAGGATACAATATTCGGCTTAAAAATGGACGAGGTAAACATGCATCCAAACGAAAAATAGGACCATCAGGAGAAGGAGGACTATGTTGAGTAATCGAATACGTAAATGAATCATGACTACCTAAGAACACAAGATAACCGAGGCAATTTAAATTAAATAAACAGGAATCAATATGGGTGCTGGTACCAAAGAATACCAAATAACACAATAAACCTCCATAAGGAAATCAAGTGTATTAAATCAAACTATAAACAATATGTTACTTTTAAAAAGCAATTTACTCTGAATTTTAATAGGATATTCTGTCTCTAGGCAGTTTTAATTAATTGTTTCAGCTAAACGGCAACTTCAAAATTATTCTAGAGTGCATGGTCCGTTACTCAAGTGCTGCTATGTTGTTGCCAAATGTTTCAATAATCTCGTTTCCATTTAACAAAATTGAAAAATATCCAACATTCAGGAATAAGTTATGTAAAGAAATTCATGGTACGGATATTGATTAATATCGGGGCAAAATAACATAAACACGGCTGATTTCATTTGATGCAAAAAGCTCAGTCAAAACAGTTAAATTTTGATACCTTGTGTAGACTAATTTATCTCTCAACTATTAATTCGGTCATTAACTTCCAACTGACCGGAAGGAATTGCATTTAAAGATAGTGATTAGAAGGTTATTTTGCCACCAAGATCGAATGCTTTGCGAAGAAGTAGGTGATAATACTCTGGTCATGCCCCTGTTTACACTAATCCTACCTTGCGTCTCAGTGGCAAACAAATTCATCATCCTAAACAGATCGATGTCACCAAATTGGTTGCAGCTTCTGTTGCAACTGAGTATCAAATCGAGCTAGGTTCGAGGCTAGCTACCGTCCCACCGAAAATTATAGATAAGCATCGGCCGCTATTGTATGACGCCATGAAAATGGCGAGTGAAGTCCCTTGCGGATTCGCGACACGTTCCACTTATCAGCACTGGGTTTCTTTAGGCTCTTTACAACTTATTGGAGCCCTACGGTCTACTCCGATTGACTGAGTGTTTGACCACAAACGAAGACTGCTGCGTAATGAAATTGTGCAAAGCTTGTGTAAGGACCGAGAAGCCGGGTGGTCTAAGGATGCTAACGAGTTGGAGGTAGCCGCTGCATCTGGTAACTGCCGGAAGCTCTTTCAACTCATCCGACTCATTGACAGAAATAAGTCTGGTGTGCGTGAAACAATCTGTGAAGATGACGGGATTCCAATCACTAACATCTACCGACGTTTTGGACGATGGGAAGGGTTTTTAAGGGATAGTTCAACTGGTCTGCTGCCACAGCGACAGCGATCAGACTGTCCTGTACTCCATGGCCTTGACGACTGATCAACCAAATGAGGTGTAAGCCCGCAAGGAAGTCCAACTCTTGAAGCGCAACAATCGCCAGGCCCAGATGACTTACCTCCGGAGGTTTTTAAAGATGGTCCCACAGAATTCCTCGTCGTGCATTATTTGCCGACGGAGAGGTGGTCAGTGTATGACATGGTGTCGTGGTATGAAAGAAAGCTGCAAAGGGCTGGCTTGTGTTGGTCCTTCACGACTCTATGGTTGGGTTCTCAGAGATGGTGCAACACAGTGGCTTGAGACGTTATCAGATATGTACAGAATAGAAGCCAGTGGCGGTTCTGCCGTAACTTCGTTTTACTTTTTTTCATAAGAGAGAGAACAAATTCTTTAACAGAAAGAAAGAACTGAGCATTCAAGCATCTAGCTAGTATCATAATATCTGTCAAACGCACATACTATAAAAGAACAGTTAACTGGTCGTAAAACCCATCCTCGACCGCATCTAGGCTGCAATCTGTCGAAACGTATGCGGAGATGATGAAAAAACATCGTCTCTTACACCGATTTCTTCTAACTGTAGTGGAACTTTCTGATCTAACAGCACGTGTCCCACTGTTATTGGGAATCTAATCGATCAGTGCTGCCTCAGCTGTGACGCCTAGTGGATCATCAACGCCAGTAAAACCAGATGAAGATGCTATAGGGTCCCCGGACAAACGCACGTGAAACAAGCCTTTCAAAGCGACAGAAGGAGATTAAAATTGTAGTACTCCACTAGTCTTGAATACGTGTCTCGGATAGACAACAGACATAGATATTAAGACTTTCTGAAGACATAGCCAACACTATCTGTTGTCGGATCTGCATTAGTGTGCGAACATTTAAGGGAACTAGTTTGAATGGTATACATGGTTTCAGAAAGACGTTTTAGTGTTCGTATTCGGTGGTAGCGTTCAACTTTCGGCCAGTCAGTGACTTGAGATCGTTTAGATAAGAAAGAGTTTCTATCATAGGCAAACAAAATACGCGAAATGAGAATAAAGAGGAATAAATAAGTGATGCATTATAAAAAAATAAAAGCGGATGTTGTCATATGATTGTGAATAAGATTTGTCTGAGTGAGCGTTGAAGCAAGAGAAATTTTTTTCAGTAGTAGTTACCACTGGTTTTTGTGAGGGCCGTGATACTTTTCGGGCACCCAAACCGAAATAGGTGATTTTCTCAGGGGAGCCACACCCCGAAACTTTGACCTAGAGGTCCAATCCACAAGTCAATGGGGCAACGTTAGAAGATTCAGTCCCATGGTATTCAGTGATCAACAATAGGTTCATACCCCACTTGTCACCTCGGGATCCTGAAGCCCATGTACACCATTGGTTTGGAACCAGTGTTTTCCAACTTCCCTAGGTGGATTCTCTGTATCCAGCATCCCGGTCAAAGCGCTGGACATTCGCTTTTCGCCCTCTCGATGTCGTGAACAACACCCCCACCGCTAGAAGGCAGTGAGTAGGACTTCCCATGGTAGTAGTTGTATACATGTGGCCATTTGAGAGCGTTTCGAGGAGAGTGGACTCTCCTCACCCTCGTGCGTACCAGGGCTTTTGGGGGCAAAAACAGGATTGAAAGTGAACGTACATTAAATACAAAGGATCTAAAACGAACTTCTGTTAAGAAACTGATGGTAATGAGGTTGAGAGCGAATATCAAATCAGTTGCTTCGGATTTACGTTGTCCTTTACGAATTAAATGTTAAAATCGCTTTCAATAATTTCGTTTTTTTATAAGATTTTCTTTTACCTTGAGTTGGACAAGCTTTGATCCTCAGTTATTTGTACTAATTAACTTAGTACAGTTTGTGGAATTCATATATTAAAGATCAGTTTTATAATACTCTTAATTCTATGGCTGACCGTAATGTACGACGTCAGCTTACAATGAAAGGTAACTAAAACAACTAATTGAGAGTAGTTTATAACAATAATATCTTAGGGAACCTCCAGAATGTGTTAAAAAGTCATTTTCAAAACACACGGAACTACAGATAAATTAGTAAACTACTAAAATAAAAACCACACGCAAATTTACAAAATTGAGACGTAACTAAATGAAGATGAAATTTATGTACTCAATTAAGTGAAACTATAATTTGATAGTTTAGCGCATTTAATTTGAACCACTAAACCATAGGTTTGATCCCCATTACAACTTTGCATAAAAAGTCTAATACGAGAACCTCTACTTGATAATTAAGACTATATTATGAGAGAAATGGAGGTCCATTTAGGTCACCTAACAGATCGCTATAATCCACTGATCAAGGTTTCTTTAAAGCATACTAGTAGTTCATATCACTTAAACAAATTTTGAAAACTTACTTGAAACACTGGGCTATGGGCCAATTATTATTTTTCGATTTTCACCCTGTTTCCATAAGACTAGTGTTTTTGGTACCTTATAAGAGAACAACTGAAAAGCCCGATTTCGAACCCGAAAAATCCATAATATTAGAAGCACTTTAAATGCAAGTGACAATAATGCGGAACAATACAACAAAAGTTTAAGGCACTAATTAGCGTGGTAAGATACATCAACTTATAGATAGTCACTTGGACTTTTCTGCAAGTTATTAGAATAGGGTTCAATGACGTGAGAAATCAATGTAAAATGTACAGATTGACAAACCTGGAATGCTTATCAGATTAAGGGCCTTCTGTGATATATGAGAGGGAAGGTCAGACATCCACGAACGTGGGTTAATCATCATTCACCTACATATGTGCAAATCACTATTAGTAACTAGTAATATCTTACCGTTTGTTGGTTGGTATTATATCAACATATATGTGCTCTGAAACGTGAAAATAATTACGTTGAAGGAAGACAGTAAGTTTTAGTTGGATAATCCAGTAGTGGTCCTGAGGCATGAAAACTCAACATATTTGAAATCCTAGTGAATACTATTTTTTAGAGAAACATATTACACAAACAGGGATACAGTGCTTGCATAGTTTTAACTTCAAACCTTAGACATTGTGAGGAACATTTCCCTCAAACTGCCTCAGAAAGTCATATAAAAATGTTAAGCTAATAAAACAATCAAAAATAGTCACCGGGTTTACTGAGAACACTCACTAAAGAACATATCTCCACAAAACTTACACTGATCAAGCCAATAGAAGCAGTGCAACAATAGTGGAAAGATTTAGATTTTGCATTTAAAAGCACCATAACATAAGACAAACAACAAAAATAATACAAAAAGGGCCAGAAACAACCAGGGGAGAGTTATTTGTGAAAAAGCAAGTCAACATTTAGATAGGAACAGTAGCAAAGTTTATTAAGCAACGGAAGACGGCATATGACACTTAGTATCTTTTGACCAGACACGAACCGCTAAAATTTATTCAAGCCAATTAGCTCGTTTCAATTGCCGGATCATCGTATATTCATAAATTCTTCACAGTTTACCTTTCCAGTTGCTAACTCTCTTAAGTGTAAGTATATCTTGTGAGCTAAGTGAATCGTTGGTTGTTTTGTATGTACTCTTTTCTAATTATCATTCATATTACTCTGTACTCTCTCTCACTGTATACAATGTAACTTCACGCTAGATTAAAGCCTACATAAATATATCACAGCCTCAATGTATAGTTTTATTTGAATGCTTCAGAACAAATGTGTGACGTCGCACTAAAATAACGTATGATTGGTCGGTTGTGTCTACTTGTTATATATTTCGTCTAAGGATAAAAATAAATAAACACCCATCTCCAGCTTTGTTCAATTAATTTTTGAAGAAAAAAAGATATTTTTTGTCTTTTTTCTGCTCTTAAAAGTATATAAGAACAAAATCTTTTATGTACATATAACATGACATTTATTAGTATACACTGACGTAGTCATGTCATTGTCGAACTCGGAGTACGTATTTTAGGGTTAGCGATATTCGAGTATCGAGGAAATTCTGAAGAATTTTTTCCATAGTAACACGATAATTAGTAGTCTTCCACAAAGTCTGGGGAAATATTACGAAAAACCCAAATTCTCTCCAAACGTTATAGGGATTTTCGCAAATGACTCGGAATTTCACGGATGAACCTCAGATCAGTGAAAACTATGGAGTATTTGTCGCACTTCCTAATAATTTTACTTTGTAGCTTCCTCAAAATAGTGAAATCAAGTATTTCGACTCTTTAACTTATATATGATCGTATCATGCCCGGTCCAATTTGATTTTTAAGGCACGAGTGTAGGTTTCTTTAATATTTATGACAGAAGCATTTTAGTATAAGTTGCTATAAAAAAAACCCAATATCTCACCATACCTATTAAGCTTGTTCCAACGTTTCAAAAGAGTACCTGTTTATCATGTGCTTATTGGCTAACATGTAAAGAATTAAGGTCATTCAAAGATCAACAAAAATAGCGAACCTCTTGGTACGTAGGATCGACATTTAGGTAGTTGGACTGTAATTCTCGTTACCTGGAGGTGTGGTTCTTGTTTTATTTCTCTCAGAAACTGAAGGACAGAATAAAAGTATTGATTGGTGAGTAGCTCTCGCCTAAATACTCCGGCAGGAGTTTGTATATCTTGCAGTCAAGACGCTTGTTAATCCCCCTTCGATAGCGAATTACCTGGCCAAATAGTAGAGTAACAGCATTGTCAGTTAGATGTCTTCTTGATGATTCTCAAATGAGATCTTGCTTTTGTGTGGATATGTTTTTGCTTTCGATGTCCTGTTACAGGTCGGGGTTGAAGTGTATAAATTGTAGTAATCAAACTAAACAACAATCTCTAAGGAGAAAAAGATCCTCGCCGTTGACTCGATACTCAGAATAGACATAGATGACATAGACTCTAAGATGAAGATTACCGCAATTGTTTCTGTCTGTTTTAGCGGTAAATGTGTCACCCACAAGCTAACGGATTGGTAGAACGCTTACTATCAGCTGCAAACGTTACACAGTTGACCGGCACCATTCGACTCATTTTACTTGGCATTCGCAATTCAGCGAAAGCTGATGTAGCTCAACTCATCCTTGTACGTCGAAACTCACATGGATGACCACTCGAATGGGCTTACAAAAGACACTTTAGAGTTCTTCAGCGTGAATTTAAGCACTATATTATCTGTAAGAACGGAGCTAACGATGAGATCAGCATCGATCGCATCAAATCACAGTGCTTAGAAAGAATCCTTAATCGGGTCAATTGTCCTTCGGTACAGTTGAAGGACACGACTCCTACACTTATGATACATCATCCGATAGCCAACACTCATGATTAAACTTCGGACGTATCTAAAAATAGACCCAAAACAACGCGTTCTGGAGAAAGTAAGGGTTCTAGAACATTCAAACAACTATTGAACGTGAGACACTAACTAACATTTTGATTCGTCTCGATTTTTCTTTGTATTATGTTTAATGATCAGATCAATTTTATTATGCTTGTATTTATGTACTCGTTCCAAAAAAACAAATTTCTTGCTAATATGCTCCATGATATGTGTATATTTAGTTTTTTCTGCAAAATACCCACAGAAACATTCTGTGGAAATCTATCTTAAGCTGTTGCATTTGCATGAGTTTATTTTTCCTTTTTTGCCCGCCTTGTGTTTTTGCGCACGTGCGAGTGTGATTCAACATGCATTTACATATACTTCTTTCTTTTCCAGGACGGCTGGGAAAGAAGAAAAAAGTACGATGAAGTTCACGACAAACCGAACTTTTCACTGTACATTTTTCTCTACTATTATATTTTACCAAATGTCTTCTTATAGTGAGGAAAGACGACCAGACGCTGCTGAATAGTACAAGCTATCAGAAGAGTGTTTACCGACGACAAACTTGTTGTTTTAAACTTCTGGCTGGTCACGTCTTAGGGTCATCATTACCACACTAAGAGGGGAGTGATCTGTAGCGGTAAATATATCCACAAAGTCTATTGCCTATCAAATCTATCTTCGAACGTCCTCGCTTCTGACTTTTAATTTCACCAGGTGGGCACTACTCATAGTAGAAGGTGTAACGACCGAAGGGCCAGTATTCGGTTTGAACGCAGGACTGACGAACCAACATTTATTCGAACAGGCCAGGCTACGTTGTTTTTTATAGCCTATAAAGCGCTTTTGAGACATTCGTATTCAATCATATGAAATTACAAATTCTGTGCACAATTTAAACGGTTGTGATTTAAAGAATAGAACAAATTGTATCAAAAATAAAAAATATTTCAAACGGTACAGCCTGTGCCGTGCATTCAAAATTTTGTCTAGCGCAAAGTAGCGCGCTAAACAATAAAAGAAACAGTTAATACCAAAGGGTTCGATACCTGAGAATCAATAAAAATATTCCCAAGAAGATGGCATCAAATGTTCATCTGCAGGGATTCCAGCAGTCCACCCAGTCAGACAGTGTATAGGTTAACAGTCACACACTGAATCACGCCGTGACCTTGAGCATAATGAAACACGACCTTACTGTCAATAGTCCAGCAACATGCAATGGAAACTTAAGTAACAAAATATATGTCCTTAATCAAAACCACATAATAAAAGCTCAGCCGAGGACTGAAGAACATAAAGTGTGATCACAAGAGATCTGAACAAATGTTAAAATACACGACCGAGGGAACAAACGAGTAAATGATAGTACTGTCCAATAAAAATGCTGTAGAGGTATTTTTAACGTTCTCTTTCCGTTACAGAAGGTGTTACTGACAAATTCGAAATACCTGTGGCATCTTCAGTGAGATTAATTATTAGAATAAATATGGTCAACATGGGGTGTGAAAGAGCGTGTAATTTTCTCACAGAACGTGACTGGACATGCAGCGTTGTGGACCGATATCCGTCAATTTGTAATAGGACCTCTAATCTGGGGTTAGTGCAAGTGAACGAATTTTTCTAGAACTCAAATATCCCTTCAGATAAGATTATGTATTTCCGTCTAGCGGAGGCGTTAATAAGTGTTAAGCAGATGGGCTGATGTACTGCGCGTAAGTCCTCGGGGCAGTACGCTATCTAAACACATAGTTTTGCCTATCAGCAATGTCAATCTACTTACTCATACTGCGGAGTTTTAGGGATTATTGGATGATTTATTAAGACATTTTTAGTACGAAAAGTATATCCTATTGTACGTCATCCTGAAATGTGTACGTATAATTCAGCTTCCCATATGTTTGTCTGAGTATCTGTAAAAGTAAGGGAGTCATATATTTTACTTGTAACAGCACTAACCCGTACAACTATGTTGTCTGAGAGTAGTCAGCTGCACGACATTGTTACAGAAGCAGATAGAAAAAAAGCTTAATTTGTGCGTAGACGTCCTAAGTACATATTATCTACAATTATCCGAATTATTACTTTCTTACACACCAGAGAATTTTTTAAATTCATCCAATGATAAAAACATTGTCTTCCGAAAGACGTCGAATAGGTCGTCGAAATAATTTTCGAAGCATGTAACACAGTATAATAACAAAACGAATAGAGAAAGATTATGCTAATCAAATATATTAACCTACATACTGCAAGCCATAGGTCAACAATTCAGAAGTTCGATACAGAAAATTCCTTCAGCCGCAAGACGGACAAAGACGCATGATACACGTAGTTATGTCATTAGTCGTTTACTGAAACATACAGATATCCTAAAGGTACACATACTAAGAAGTTGTAGTAGATTATAAATAAACTGCCGACCTGAAGTACTTTAGGAAGCGGCAATTTCAAATCCGAGCCAGATTTTATACCGTGCCAATCTGTGTCAATGATCGGGAGCTTACTGGACTTGTATAAAAGTGGTGTGACCTCCTAGTATCAAAGCAACTGAAATTCACGGGAGCACGAAAATTTCAATCTTAAAACAATGCCCAGAGGACGTCAGTATACCTGTAGGTTACCTGTTCAGTCACCCTATAGAATCTCAGAAACGTATAGAAGAATGTAAACTTACCACTCTCTCCTCAAGCTTATGATTATTTTATAAAGAAGACTAAATCTGCTTCAGGTAAGTCCCACTACCCCAATACTGTCGAACGTAATGGAAAGCCTGGCCAATGGCTAAATGAAAGAGATGATGAACAAAGGCATCCTATTTAAAGCTCAAAATAGGATTAGAAATTACAGGCAATCAAAATCCGTCATTCTCGTAGTGCAAACGGCTGAACGGCCTTCTGATACCAAAGGATATCGGATAATGCAATTTTCCTCAAATTTTGAAAGTAGTTTATTACAGTACCGCAAGTATTACTGATAATAAGGGATCATAAATTACATTTACTGAGCCAATGTTTACCTTGAATCCAGAATCACCTGGAAAACCTGATGTCATGCGCTGAAGTAGATGCAATTCTTGCCATTTGTAAGGTCTTGATATCAGGAGTTTTACAAAGCGCCATTTTAATACACTTTTCTTGCAGATTTTTAATAAGAATCTTTTACATGAAACTAGCTCATTCGCTTGATTTCGGCTAAAATTTAACTTGTCGCAATGCCATGTTATGAGCACCCATCTCCTGTGGGAATGATGAAGTTTTGTAGTTTGCGAATATTTGCTCAGAAATACCAACGACAGAAGGAATAAAAATCATCTCAAAACACTTAAGGGGTGATGCTAAAGCGAATTCTGCCTTTTTCTTTATACAGAGGCAGCTTGGTTCAGTTATCTGAGTTATTTTTGATACTCATTAGAATGGACTTACAAAATCATTATGAAATGCACCACCGTAATCTAAAGTACAGTGAGATTTACCGTTAATATTGGTACTGAGAACTAGACTGTGCATTTTCATTGCAACCATATTATTTAACGTTTTAGAATATTTTTGCTTGTTCTAGTACTTTAAAACTAACAACACGACCTTGAGTGTTTTTAAAAGTATATTTACCTACGCAACACGCTTGTGGTATTTCTTATGGGTTTGGAATGTTACACAGTGTTGGAATGTATAGGAGAAGGCTCTTTCGGACGTGTTTTCCGTGGAAGAAGAAAGGAGACTGGACAGGTTGGATTAAAGCTTTAACAGTGAATGTGTGTATTCTTAAAGATTGTAGCTATGAAGTTTATACCGAAAGTTGGGAAGAGCGAAAACGCTCTTAAAAATCTCAAACTTGAAATTGAGATTATGCGATCAATGCATCACACTAACATAATAGAAATGCAAGACTCATTTGAGACAGAAAGAGAGGTTACTTAGTCCTTAAATTCCTAATATCATTCCCATTAATGTACGCTTTAGGTTGTTGCAATTACTGATTATGCCGAAGGAGATCTCTTTCAAATAATTGAAGATGATGGCCGACTTTCCGAAGAAACGGTAGTTTTATTGACACTTTCATATGTACTTCTCAGGTTAGATCAGTAGCTTGTCAGTTGGT